GCGGGGGTGCAGGAAGGATAAGGGGGGGGGGGGGTGAAACATGGCGCAAAGAGGGCAATCTGTGTGTGTATACGTGGGCATGAAATAGAATAAGCAGAAGGGGGACCCTCTTACACCCCCCCAGTCCCTTCCCTGGACACCCCAACAAGCCCGATCAGCTCCAGCCGATCCCTGCCAGCAAACTTTTTTATTTGCTGCTGGAAAGAGTTTCATTAAACTCTGCAACACGTGTCCATGTCACCCTCCTCATTCCCAGCACGACATCAAGGCGACCAAACACCCTACAAAGACCACCCGATCACAAGCCCACAAATAGCCATTGATCCAGGCACAGAGAAGGGGGTGGGGGGGGGGTCATGGCTGTCCTTGTATCCTGCACAGAATGCCTTCCTTGTGTGCATATGACAGCACAGATCTGTATGCAGGGATTGCCATGTGGACTGGAGATCTATCTATCAGCAGCCAGCGATTTGTTCCAGCATTGCCACATACACATTGCAATCCTTCCATACACATGCAGAGTTTTGCAGGAGGCTGTCAAGCTGCAAACTTTTGACGTTGTAATCCACCAACCTCCAGCATCCAGGTGGCCACCATCCTCCGCATGAAGGGCTGGATGTCCTTCTGGACACATTTGAAGTAGGAGCACTGGGGCAGATATCTCTCCTCCACGGTCAGCAGGTTCTGCAGGACCCGATCGTCAAAGAGCAGAGTGGGGTCAGTCTGAGCCCTGCGGACAGTATCCAGCTCACAGCACAGCAGCTCCATGCTGGCCGCCTCGGCTTACTAGCTGACAGTATTGTATCCACTTCCACGGGTGCAGATCAGATCTGGGTGGGGGAACGAGAGAGAAGATTTGGGGGGTTCTATTGTTTCCAGTGCACACCAGTCTCCCCAGTTTGCTCCCTGGCTGCACAGTGACGCAGCTTGCACTAGGGCTGGCCCAGGCTCTTGGTGTTATTATGTAGAACAGCAGCTGGCCAGACTTTTTAAGTTTTTTTTTCCTCCTCTCGCTCTCTCGCTCTCTCTCTCTCTCTCTCTCCACTCAGCAAGCAGGAGGCCCTAGTATAGGGCACACATGACAGCTCTACACTTTTTTTTCCTTCTGTACAGCCCGCCCCATCTGGCTTATAAAAAAAAAAAACGTAATTAAGTCACTTTGTAGGTGCTATCAAGTGCAAGCAGGAAAAAGAACTTCATGGGAGTTTGGTGCTGCTTTTGCCTTGCAAAGGGCAGGCTAGGTGGGAGGTAGAGAAAGACATTTAGATGAGGGGTTTGGATGTTAGTGTGCTTGCAGGTTAAGGTCCCCAAATACCAGATTGTCTTTCGACCATTGTGCAAATTTTTATTCAATAGAACATAAAGGCGACAGATGTTCTACGTAGGCAGGGCAGCTTATTCTGTGCAGCGCGGAGGGCGGTCAAGGTGTGCAAAGTGTGGTAGTAGTAAATCATCTGGTTAGACAACTTAACAATCTTGTTGCTAAGGGTTACTTCTAAAACTATATCTAAAGCCAAAACTTATTTTGGTTGCTTTGGGACAGAGTAGGAATAGCTCAACCCTTCATAAGTTGTTGTCTTTTTTTGCTGTCTTTGTCCTGTTGGGGAGTTTTAGCTCCACTTCCTGTTTCAAGACACAACAGGAAGTGAGAGATCTCTCCAAAGTAAGGGAAATCCTTACTTAGACAGTTGTCACTGGAACAGATGTTGAAAGATTCACCCTCTATTCCTGACCCAGAGACAAATTCACAATTTTTTATTTTTCCTCTGCATTAGTCCAGGTTACAATGATAACTAGGACATACATGGTAATTCTACCCAGCGAAGACACAAAGGGCAAAATACAAAACTTGACAAGGGTTCTAACCCTTTCCTACTTTAACCAAAAGGATACAAATTCCTTAAATATTAAGTTTAAGGGTTTTTTTATACTGTGTGAATGTTCCTGTGTACATCCATTTCAACCAGAATTCCATACATCTCACCATAAACCAACAATGGCCAGACACCTACCAATGCCATTGTTTGCTAAAACTACAATTCAGTGCAATGCAATGCAATCTGATTCCACTCATTGATCATTTCAATCTATTAACAATGTTTTTCTTCAAAAAGGACAATCCATCCTCAGAAAAAAACTGAATTTAATCTTTTTTGACATTATCATTAATTGTTTATTCCTAATTATGTGTATTCCCAACATCAGGCTGATGAGGAGCAAATATATACCCTTCCGAACAAATGTATATTAATTAATCACGCTCGTATCTGATTGTAAGACAGGCAAAAATGATGAGAGGAGTTTGTATTGTATGAAAATGTCTGCCCCTGTATGGGCACCTCGGATACTGGGAAGGAATACTATATAGACCAATGAACTATGACCTCAGCTGTTGGGATAGGGCTCAAATCCTAATGAGCCCCTCATTGACATTAATAGGGCTTAATCTCAAAGTAATTCATTCAATTCTTCTTTGGGCTGCCAAGCGTTAGTATCACTTTTTCTCAAAAGACTGAAACAATGGTGGCCAATGGAACTCATGTCCACCGTATCTGTTTTATATCTTAGGTGTAGGGGACTTAGGATGTCTCAAGTATTTGCTAAACTGGAAAGCAGGGTGTTGGGGCAGCATTTTGGAGGAGATAAGCCACGTCTACTTTTAAAAAAAAACGTTACTGTGTCAAAATTCATGCCTTTAACTTTCAATGTAAGGTTCCTTGTGAATGTAGTTCACCAAAAGAGTACCTACTGTCTTATTTAATTAGAACGATGGGCAAAATGCAGTAACCCATTGCAATGAATCAGCGATCATCTTTCATTGCTTTGTTTGCTCTAAGTAGATAAAGGCTAAAAGTTGATTGGTCACTAGCGGTCACTGCACCTTTTACATTATGGCTGCCCCTGTCTGTGCTTGGCTGCCCCAGGGGTCTTCTAAACTTAAAGAGGTTATTTAAAGAATAATAAAGAATGATAAGAATATTTATAAATAATAAATTATAATAAAGAATGAATATTATTTTATGCTAAAAAGATTAGCAACTGAGGCTTTGTGGGTTCTTCTTTTTTAATACAAAGAGTTGCGTTTTATAGGTGGATGATTGCTCAAAGGTTTCTTATCCATAGTTGCTCCAAGCACCCAAGGCCCGCTTGTGTGGTTTGTGAGTAACGCATGTCAGTAAATTTCCTCTAGAGGGTCATATCTCAGTTCTCCTTGGTATTAGTAGAGCTCTGTCTAAGTTGAAAATTTGTGTCATATGGCTATTAATTCCTCAGAGACCATAACATACAGGGGTACAGGTACTTTTAAAACCTGGAACCACACAGGGACTCTCATACACATACGCACGCACCACACACACACTTACATATAAGGTTGAACTTGATGGATCTGTTTCTTTATTCAACCTCAAATACTATGTAACTATGTAATTCCCACATAATAGTTTAACATTTTGACTCACACCCATTCATTTTTCGGTGCCCTTCCGTTAGCATCGGAAGGAAATTGGAAGGTACAATTGGACCCTCCGTTTACTTGTGATTTCCTTCCAATTTTGGTGTGAATGGGCCCTAAAAGGTTGTAACTACCTGCGAGCCAATCAAGGAAAAGAATGAAAAACATTTTTTAGAAAGAGTTTTCCCTATAAGATATGTGCGCGAAGGAGTTGTCTTATTGTGAAAAACAATGGCGACCGGATCCATTGCTGTATTGTGTTTATTCTATGGCCATGAGACTGCAATTGCAAATTTAGACTAAGTTTTGTGGCTGACAGTGACAATTCCTGGAAAATTTTGCTGCGACTGTCAGCAACTGTCATTATCTACTCAAGGCGTGATAGTGACTTCGAGGAAATATGGGGCACTTTGTTTTACCAAGATATTACCTTACACTTGTTTTTTGTTTGTTTGTTTTCTTTTTTGTCTGCGCCATTCGCACTATACCGGTTAAGAAATACAGTGAGAAAAGTTAAACGTATAAAAAATCTGCCCCAACAATCTGCCATTATGAATCTCCATGCCTTTAAATTGTAAAAATATTCATTTTCACTGATAAGATTTCATGAATGAAAACAGTGACACCCTGAATTATCAATGCTAACTGCATATTTGTACAGTGGGTGTGTATCATGTGTTAGGTCTAAACACGTTCCGTTTAATACCTGTTCAGCCCAACCTGCATTTGGTATTAAAGAAAACACTAGTTATTTGTCCACCTAAATATTTCCTAAGAGCAAAAGTAACTGATTAAAAGCAATGAAAATATTCAACTCCTGGTGTGACTCTGCACTCCCTAATACTGAAGAGCAAAAGTGAAAATATCGCTTTAAGTGTGAGAAACAGTTTAGGCAGCCGTGTGACTCCCCCTTCTGTATTAGCATAGCCAATGGTTGTACTTTTCTTGCTACTGCGCGATGTTTGTTACCGGGCAGACTTCTTTTTTTTTTTTTGGGGAGAAAGCTTTCTCTCTATATCAGTAACCAAGACGGAAAAAAAACACTTGCTATCAGTTAGGTACAACATTTTTAATCTGTAAACAGATTAAGGAAAAAAAAGCAAAAAAATTGAGGAAGATAAGAGACTAACAGTTGCACACCAAAAGTTTGTCGCGAATGTCTAGCGGCGCGGTACGCCTGACATTCACCCAAAAAAAAAAATATCATTAAAAAAGTAGGAGCTGTGTGAATCCTTTTTTGTTGATTTTTTTTCAAAAGTATTTAATTGACATCTGCTATCTGAGCTACTTTTGTGTGAAGTCACATGAATTACGATATGATATATTAATAAGTTGCTCCCCCATTCCTGGGATTGCATTCGGCATCAATAATGTGTTTAAAGGACATTAAAGAAATGAAACGTTGGCAGTATCTTGCACATTTTGCTCTACAACCCAGGTTGAAAAAAAGATTTCCCCTTGCATCACGTGCTTTACAAGAGCTGGAACTATACTTCTGACAGCACAATCTAATCTGAGCTATGTGTTAACCCTTTCCTGCCCTGCCAGCAAACCATTGATAAATGCATGTCATCATTGAGAAAATTGAACATACCATTCACTGCCCCTCCCCTCTCATAGGCTGCATTTATGAACAAAATGCAATGAACTTAGACCTATTCAAACAGCATGCTCTCTTTTTTTTTTTCTAAAACACTCTCAAGTTCCCATTTCATTTCCTTTTTCCTATTGCCTCACTGATCCTATATACAGGGAGTGGGTTGTTTAACACTTCAGAGACACTATTGTATTGCATTTCAGCCTGTTTGTGTGTGTTTTTTCCCTTTTCTTTCTTTTTTGTTAATTGATACTTTTGCACATATTAAAAAATTTAGGGTGTTACACAGATGCATTTGCAATTTTATATTTTATCAGACAGATATAAAAATATAATAAATATGAACAATAAACATGTCTTTATGTTTGGTTATTGGTCCAGTTTCTGTTTAGCTTTGTAAAAAAAATATTAAAAAAATGAATCCTTAGTAGTTTTGCCGCAGATACAAATGGCTTTTAAATGACTACCCATGGGGTAGCTTAAGTTTAGCTAAAGTGTAGCTCAAGTGACATTAACAGGGCCTACAAATGGGTTATAAATGATATATACATCCCTCCATAGGCAATGTGCAAAAGAAGTCTGATGATTAATAGTTTTGTAGGCAGTCGATGTGGTATCAGTTTTTGTCCAGAGTTTCATCCCCCAGATGTTTTAAGAAAAAGAGAGAAAATCCCTTGAAGAATAATATATTCACTCCTGCGGTTAATGCATTATGTGGAAAATTCACCCCCCAAAAAATAAAAAATAAAATTCCTTATTTTATGATGTAA